CAAAGGAACGACCAGGCTTAAAGGTTCTCGAAATAGTGGACAGAAGCTGTTGCAACGCTGTGATGATAGGGAAACAGGCACATAGACACAAACATCGATATAGATCCAGCTGCGGAAAAACGGTGAAGATGAGTAAGGACAGTCCAGAAGCTCGTAGGAATTCCAACACGACAAACTGAAAAAGTTCGATCAGAATTTGTAGTTTGATAGATTGCCCCTTTCTGAATGTAACTAAAAATCCTGCAAATTTACTCACAACCGCTCTTACTCGTCCTGCTTTATCGCCGCTAAAGAACCGCATCAACGATCGTATAATTGCCACCACATCTGGCACTGCTTGAATGAAGAACAAAGCCAGGTACATGGCGGCAACTCCTTTTGGAGTACGTTGTACTAAAATCAGTTTTAGATTCAGGTGTTTTACAAAAGAACAAAGAGGGTAGAAGGACCCATTAGCTAATCTTATGTCTCATAATCTGCTCTCGCCCAAGCCAATCAAGGCTTCTACCCTTCCAGGGACAGGTAAATTGGTACCAGATTCGTCTGGGAGGATAAAACACTGACTTGTACATCGGCTGGCCCCCGCAAGTCATTGTATAGGCCACATCGCATTCAATAAGCCACTACGATTCTGAATGAAAGCAGATGCGTGCATCCCAAGAAGGGATTGATCAACGGAGAAGACTTGATCCTTTTATCCTTTTATGCCCCGGGTCAAACCTATAGTGTGCAGATTTAGCAAATGAAAGTTAAAGCAAATAGAGGTAGGAAGAGTCACAAACAATCTAGCAATCGAACCCACTTCAGCTTCGAGAACCCGAATACATTTTCTCGTCGCGTTCCTTGCTCGCTTTGAAAAGAGGAAATGAAGGGAGAGGGAAGAAAAGAGGAGTGAGAAGGAAGATTACCCAATCTCCAAAATGTCCTGATACCGGAAGTAAACGTTTAAAGCAGGATAAAAGGATAAAGGATGAAGTCTTCGCCGTTATTCAATCCCTTTGTGGGATGCGGCACGCATTCTACTTACTGGTGGCTTAGCGAATGCTACAGCTTAGAAAATGATATCCGGGGCCAGCCCTGTACAGCTAATGCTCTTATCCTCCCAGACGAAACTGGTACCAATTTACCGTCCCCCGGGAGTAAAAGACTTGATTGGCCTGGACGAAAGAATTGAACCCACCACCGTGTGAGGTGGTAAGCGCGCCATTTGTCGCTACACCACCTCCGCCTCCAGGAACCAGGGATTTGAACCGTAAATAGCTCGGACTTATACTCGATAACCCATAGATCGGGTGGGCATGGATACTTCATCTGAACGGGGCGGCTGAGGTTTTGGCGGGACGTTCCACTTTTTTGGTTTACTGTGACTGTAGCCATGCATTTATTCACTACAACAGAGGATGAGTTGTCTGAAATATCTCCCCGAAAATGCATATAACGTCATGTTCAAATATGTTCAAATGAGATCGTAGCCACGCCTTCCTCACCTCCGGGATATGAAGAGCATGTAGGTCAACGGGCTTGACCGCAGGTTATGAGTAGGTACAAAACCGTTGGAGTCCATTTGCTTCTGATTTGGTTCGAAGGTTAGCATAAGAAAAAAGCCGCACTTACCAGGAACCCGGGAACATCTTCTCGCGTACGGATCCGAATGGTACTTTCTGTCCCAAATATTGGTGGCGAGAATTAATATGCAGATTTTCGAAATGGTTGCGCCAAGCGTTAGAAACGTGTTGCATATGAGAAAAAGAAGTAGCTGAAAACAGTCCAGAATATTACCTGTTTTCGTCCGTAGTGTTTTGACTATGATTCCTTTGGAACAGAATTTCCATTGGGAAGAGGTTACCAGTGTTGGACCGTGCGAAGGAACGATTGAGAAGGGGGCTGGATAAGTATGAAAATCGCCAAAGTCTCAAGGAGGAAAGAGCTCCAAACAGGGCGCACTATAGCAATGTTAAAAAACTGGTTGTTCATTATGGCACCAGTAATCTTGCTCCAAGACTGACAAAAAAAGTAGGCCCTATATTGCTCATGCTCGTATTATCACCAATTTCCCTGAGAACGATAGCCTAGCGATCAAGAGATATACACTAACACAGAACAAAGGAGAATGTCTGTTTTTCCCAGTTCCCAGAACCTTCCTTAAACAGAATAGGACTCTCAGAAAGCTTTCATAGCAAGCGTAAGCATTCTGAGCGTTTTGAGTCTAGGAAAGTATAGGTATCGATCCGGCGCTTCGAACGTACGCCAGGGTACAAGGCATTGTGTGCGCTTGCTAGAGCTTTCAGCGACCAGCCGCGAAACGCTCAAAATGCTGTTGTACTCGGGAAACGGGCAAGAGAATCGTAGTTTGTCGCTTCGCCGCGCGCGGATGGGCGCCACAGTTTCTTAACTCGTGTTAACCTGTTGAGTGGAGCACCGGACTTCACGTAGACTCCGTCATCGTAGACATCCATGACTACTTCCGGTTCTAACTGCTGATTGTCACCATTCTCTACCTGGTACCATCGTCATTTGCCGGCGCTGCCGTCGCGCGCGACACCCACCAACGCGGCGAATTACGATTCTCTTGTAACATACCCGCTGTACTCTGAGAACGCTGAATCGATATTACTGACCTTGTCCTTCAAAATACTGGCGTACGCGTAAAACGCTGCCCAGAGCGCTCAAAGTATGAACACAACACTCGGCGGTTCAACTATGATCCCCTCCCCTCACCACAAACCGTTCTCCGGCGCTAATAATCTTGGGTGGGCCAAACCCCATTGCACACATGTGAATACCGGACAACCTTGTCAACACCCTGCAAGCCTTGCATTCACCAGTCAAGCACCCTGCAAATTCCTGTCAAATTGTCGAAATAAATGGTAACGGTTGGAAAAGAGTGGAGAAATGGCGTTCTCATGAAGTTCGTACCACTGGGTATGTGACAAGAGAATCGTAATTCGCCGCGCTGGCGGGCGTCGCGTGCGACGTCGCGCCCGCAAAGGACGATGGTTCAGGTAGTAGATGGCAACAAAAGGCAATTCAGAACCGAAAATAGGAAATATGTCTATGATGACAGGAAGTCCCGTGCTCCAATCGACGGTAAACACAAGTTCAAAACGCCGCGCCCATCGCCGTGCGCGGCATAGCGGCAAATTACGATTCTCTTGCCCGTCTCCCGATACCATTTCGCCAAGCTTGACAGGAGTTCCCAAGGATACCTGACAGGAATTCACAGGACTTGTAGGGTGAGACAGGAGTGTGAAAAAAACAAAAGAAAAAAAACGAAAAACACATTTCGAAAACAGGTACGGTTCACCCCAAAGTTATTAGCGCTCGCTTTTTCTAGCTTACAGGCTATTTCTAGCTATTACGTTACAAAAAAAATTGGACCACTTTGCAGTTGTACGTGACCTTAGAGGATTTTACAAGTGGCCCTTCACAGCTTTTTACAGAATGGTCCGCTAAGTTGACAATTATTGCAATGCCCCGCGTATTACACTACCACCCATGTTTAGTATCTAAAGAAATAATTAGAAGTAAGTATTCTCCATATAACCAGCCTTCGTGGCTTGTAGTGAAGTGATCATCCATGGTGTTAGTGTGGGTTTCTCCGAGGTTGCCCTCTTGTGCGACCGAAATACATTCCAACGATAGTCGTCATCGGTTGAGGACATTACCAGTGAAGAACTAGGTTATTTCTGAATATGTATAGATATCAAATTATAGAAAGAAAATTATCAGGCTCGGTAAAATAGAAACCATAAGAACAACGAATCGAACGAAGATTTTAAATCTGTCGTGGCGGTCGCAAAGATACATCGACCAGCAGATCATCACTTACTGTGATCAAGACGTCGCAAAGATGAGGGATTGTCATACTTAATGTCACATTTTGTAGTGCTTGAGATCTTTTTGCCTGGAACACAGCAGTGAAATGTTGCCCATTGTCAACAGCACCTCTTGAATTTGGTTTAGCAAAGTATTCGGGATTCATAGATTCATCCAGATGCCCTATGCATTTGTACTTTGTGATGCGTCAGGGATGGGGCCCATTCCAAGGGAGGGGAATCTGGGATAGGTGGGCCTCCTGAAAACACGTAAAAAGTTATAATGTGCAAGAGCGCATTCATACTTCGCGGTCGCGCGGTCGGACGCTCGATTGGAGCGCGCGATCGCGATGAATGAACGCGCTCTAAGGTCGCAGTGGCAGGGCACATCGTTGTTGGGGAATTTCCGAACAGGGGGTCGTATTTGGTCGCTGGGAGAGGGGGTCGTATTTCGGCTGAGAAAAATTTCTTTGATAGTTGATTTTTCTCGTTTCTGGGACGTTGTAAGGGGGAGGGATGGAGTCCTATTCGCCTCGTTGTTGGGAAGGAGGGGAGGGGGGGGGGTCGTATTTCCCTTCTGACCTTCTGGGAGAGGTTGCTGACTTTCGTGGTTTTTCCTGTTTCCCATGCACTATTTGCCCCTCCCCCTCCTCTCGACAGCAAAATTTTTGGGCAAAAGTAAAAATTTCAATTCCGGAAAAAGTGATAGGGAAAGGGGAAAATCTAAGAAATGGTAGAGAGGAGTCGTATTGCCCCTACGCTCGAGAGCACGATGAGGACGGATCCACGGGGGCTCGTACCAACCCCGCAAAAAAGGGGGCGGGGGTCGCACGGACTCGACCAAAATCGCCAACTAATGATGTGCCCTGGTGGTAGAGCAGCTCTCAATCAAGCAAGGGAATCTCTTTTGATGGTTTCGCTGGAGCGAGGGGTTGAATCTTGGTAACATTTGCTACGCAATCTATGCCTTGATACACTCCTGGAGATGAAGACGATGCGGCTATGTAACCTCGAGATCCCTGAGATCGGGTAGGCGTGGCCGCATTTTTCAACTTACCCTCAAGGCGTCTACGCTTCTGATGCGA